TTGCGAGTCGTGGAGCGCGCTTGTCTGGCCTGGCGGCGCGGCACTGGCCAGCGCCCCGACCCTCCCCTGCGTGCCAGGCGGCGCCGGCGTTTATGGGCATAGAGTTGTCGCCCTGCCGCGGGCGGCTGCGGCGGCGGGCCTCCGCTGCGCGCGCGCGCGTCGCCCTCCTCGTCCTCGTCGCCACCCCTCCCTCCGCCCCGTCCCTCCTCCTCCTCCTCCTCCTCCTCCTCCTCCTCCTCCTCCTCCTCCTCCTCCCTGCCTGGCCTCGTTCTCTGGACCGGCACCTTCCACACCTTCCGCGCGGCAGGTGCCGCCGCGATTCGAAGGAGGATAAGGTACCTTATCCCTCTACCCTCCCCTCGTTTTCCCCCTTTTGGGGCCTCCTGGGCCTCCGTCGTCGCCACGGCTAAATTCGCTTCGAAACCCTGGTCAGACCGCACCACGTTCGAAGAGCTTCACGGATTGAGGGCGGGTGGTGTTCAAAATGTGGTTCTCGCCTTAGCGCCGCGCACATTCGTTGTTTTCAAGGAGTTTCACGGATTGAGGGCGGGTGGTTTTCAAAATGTGGTTCTCGCCTTAGCGCCGCGCACATTCGATTTATACATTTGAAAGGGTTTCACGAATTGAGGGCGGGTGGTTTTCAAAATGTGGTTTACGCTTTAGCGCCGCGCGCATTCGGTTTATACATTTGAAAGAGTTTCACGAATTGAGGGTGGGTGGTTTTCAAAATGTGCTTTACACTTTTTGTGCCGCGCACATTCGTTTTTTATTATTATTATATAAAAAAGATGTTGCAAACACTTCACGTGTTGAGGGCGTTGTTTTCAACATGTGGTTCTCGCCTTAGCGCCGCGCGCATTCCTTGTAAACATGTGCAAGAGTTTCGGGGGTTCCCATGATCAGCCTTCCCAACATGGTGTGTGGAAAAGATTCAGAGTTATGAGGGTGCAACAGTTACGCTGATTCGCGGTGTTGAAATTCCAGTAATAATGTTCAGATCGTCAAGACGCAGCAGTCTGGTTGATCCGTGGCGTAGAAATCCCGAGAACATTGTTTTGGCATGCTTCAGGGTCTTCAAACGGTTGTCTTCCAACGAGGCAGCTCCCCCAGTGAAAGTGAACCGTTGTAGGGGCCTATGAAAAGGGAGACTGGACGGAGGGTTGATTCCAACATCGTTGATGATTCTTGGGTTTCCACGAGGTCCTCGTCGTCCTCCTCCTCCTCCTCCCCCTTCTCCGCGTCTCGTGCCACGTCCGCTCAAGCGAGTTTCTAAGTGGCGTCCCAACATCCGAAGAGTGGCGCTCGTTGGTCGTCGTTGCCGCTTATCTTTTGGGCACGTTTGCAGGTCGCGTTGACGCGTTTCGTCGTTGGTGGCCATTGGCGGTAATAGCTTCGACAGTCATGTTCTGGTCTGGCTAACGAAGGTTGCCGTCGCTGCTGTCGCTGTGGTGGCATTGGACGAGCGGGTTGCCCGTGCTCGAGATGATATTGCCAGGTCTGCAGAATAGAATTCGGATGGTTCAATATTCCACCCTCTGTCTCCTTCCTGCTATCATCCAATCGTCCCCCCTCTCCCTCCTGCTGCTCCTTCTCTTTCCGCTCCCTCCTCCCTCCTTCCTCCCTTCTCTTGCGCCTTTCCATTCCCCACCTCATCGTCGTATTCCTTCATTGTTGGCGTCCTCGTCGTCGTCGTCGTCGTCGTCCTAATCCCCCTCATCCTTTTCCTCTTCTTCGTCGTCCTCCCCCTCTCCGTCCGCCCCTCCTGCTGCCCTCTCCGCTCTTCAATGTCCTTTCATCCATCGCCTCGCTCCTGCTTCCTGCCTGTTCTCTCCGTGCCTCTCTGCATCTCTCACACCTCCCCCCCCTCCTCTCTCCAACATCGTTATTCCTCCCTTCCTTAGTTTCCTCCTTCTTTCCCCCTCCTCCCTCCCCCTCCTCCCTGGTCCCCCTCCCCCCTTGTGCATGCCTCACTCCTCTCTCGCAGCCTCCCCCCCATCCTCTCTCCCTCCCCCCTGGTCCCCCCCATCCTCTCTCCCTCCCCCCTCGTCCCCCCCTCCCCCATGCCTTCTCCCCGCTCCCGCCTTCCTTCCCCCTCCCCCCCTGTCCACACCTCCCCTCAGCCTCCTCCCTTCCCGCCTCGTCCTGCTCCCCCCCCGAAGTCTCCCTCGCCGTCCGCCCCGCCGCACCACACCGGGCGTGACGATGGGGCTGCCCCTGGGCGACCCGCCTGAGCCCCCTGTCACGTGTCGTCTTATCATAAGGCTGGGTGCGGGAGGAGGAGGAGGAGGAGGAGGAGGAGGAGGAGCCCCCGTCACGTGTTGTTCTATCATAAGGCTGGGCGCGGGGGGGGCGGCGAGGCATTCCCGAAATCCTGTTCCGGCGTGGGATTTCCCCGCGCCCCGCTGGAACGCGGAAGGGTGTCAGCACGCGCGCATCATGGATGGCTCCTAATGGCTCTCTGTTTGACGATCCGCACTGGAGCGTGCAGCTGCCGCAGGAAAAGGGAGCCGCCGCGTCGTCGAGCAGTGGCTCTTGCTTCTGGTATCTCCTCCTCCTCCTCCTCCCCCTCCTTCCTCCTTCCTCCTCCTCCTCCTTCCTCCTCCTCCTCCCTCCTTCCTCCTTCCTCCTTCCTCCTTCCTCCCTCCTCCTCCCTCCTCCCTCCTCCCTCCTCCCTCCTCCCTCCCTCCTTCTTCCCTCCTCCTCCAGCCCCATGAGCCTAGCAAAGCCCAGCACCGCCAAGACCTGGCTTCGGCGTCACCCCGACATACTATTACTGTGTGTGCGTCGCCCCCCCCCCCCCCCCCCCGCAGGGGCGCCGCGCGCACCGAGAAATCGTACAGCATAGGCGTCGTGGCGGGCGCTTTCTGGCCATACCGCGCGGGAAACGATCTACCACAAGGTTGGTATCTTACATGGTCGGGTCGGGCGCGCGCCTCCGAGGAGAACGTCCAGTACTGGTATGCCTCTGCGTGTCCCGTAGAGAAGCCCAGCACCGCCCAGACCTGCCTCCCGCTCGAGGTGCCGGCGGCCTGTAGGATCACGAGGGGAGGGGGAGGGGGAGGAGGAGGGGGAGGAGGAGGAGGAGGAGGAGGAGGAGGAGGAGGAGGAGGGGGAGGAGGAGGAGGAGGAGGAGGAGGAGGAGGAGGGGGAGGAGGAGGAGAGGAGGAGGAGGAGGAGGAGGAGGAGGAGGAGGAGGAGGGGGAGGAGGAGGCCTGTAGGATCACGAGGTCCTGGGCGCTCTCCGAGCGCAGGCAGCGGGTGGCGGGCCCCTCTGGCTCCAGGCATGTTTTTTGGCGCAGTCTGCGCTCCGACGTTGCATCCCCGACGCCGGGCACCCCAACAGCTGATCCGTCGGGAGCCTTGAGACGGGGGTCAATGCAAACGGGGGTCAGCCAGAGCGCCCGATCTTGCAGGATCCTGCAGGGCCAGGGTCGCATCGACCCGGGTTTGGGCGCAGGATCGTGCAGGCTTTTGCAGGATCTGTCGCATGGACCCGGGCTTGGGTGCAGGATCTTACAGGACTCTGCAAGGCCTGACTGACCTGGGTCTGGATTGACCCTGGTCAGTGCGTCCCCGAATCCGTTTCGCGTCGTCGTCGTCGCCGTCGGCGTCGTCGTCGTCGTCGTCGTCGTCGTGGTCGTCGTCGTCCGATTTGTTTCAGGAGGGAAAGGAACACACAGACACAATGAGTCGTCGATCCTCAGCAAAATATGGGAAAGAAAAATATGGGAAGCGGGGTGGGGAAGACGAACGCCCAGAAGGCATGGGAAACTATGGGGGATCCCTGTACTTGTGTCTATCTATTAGTGGGTCCCTGGGCCCCTTCGTTGTTTGGTGTACCGTATCCGCGCAAACGACAGCAGGCACGCAGATCAAGAGGCCGGCCTGCCCGCAGGAGTCCCGCGCAGAAGCTTCTCGCCGCCCGAGGGCCCCCGGGCCCCACGGAAGCCTCGGGGCCCCTCGGGAGGCTCAAACTTCGACGACGAATGTGCCCCCAGGTTTCTGATAGCGTGATGTCTTGCCGTTTTCAGAGGATGAAACAGTACCCATACCGCTACCCTTCGGCCGTTTTCCCCTTTTTGGGCCTCCTGGGAGGCCGTCGTCGCCACCGCTGGACTCGCCTCGAAATCTTGGTCAGAACGCACCCCAGGAGAGGTCCAGGAGTAGCGGTATAGGTACCTTTTTGTGTCCCCAGTCTTCCTTGATGTTGACAGATATTGACGCTGTCTCACACTTCTTTGTAATCGGCTAGACGCCTGGAGCCCGTTTCTTTATTGCTTGGGGCATGACGGGCGTCATGGCCCCCGCTCCCCCCCCCCTATGACGTAACGCTCCCCCCTCCAGTGCGCTCCGGGCACTTCCGCCGTGCGTTTTGGGATCCGCGTAGGTGTCCGCGTAGGAATCCGCATAAAAGTCTGGTCCGCAGTCGTCGTCGTCGTCGTCGTCGTCGTCGTCGTCGTCGTCGTCGCTCTTGGGTTGTCGCTCGTCGCTCATAGTCGCCGTGCGTGCGGACGCGGCTGAAACTTTTTTTTTAATGTTTTTTTATATTTTTTTTTTTTAATTCCGGGCCGATGACGGCAATCATCTTAGGGGGGGTGGAGGGGGTCGATGTCGTCACGTTTCGCGCCGGCGGCGTCTGGGAATGCCTAGGAATGACGGAGGACGGGTAGCGCCAGCATGTAGGTGGCGTTTTGAACCACAACGCCCGTGTACACCACAGTGCCTGCGTGCACCACAGCGCCTGTGTACACCACACCGCCTATGTACACCACAGCAGCCGCGTGCAACACAGCGTCAGTTTGTGCCACCGTGCCCGCGGGCACAACAGCTCTTGCGCACACCACAGCGCTTGCGTACACCACATCAGCCGTGTGCAACACAGCACCAGTGTACACCACAATGCCTGCGTTCATTGCAGTGCCTGTGTGCACCACGGCCCCTGTGTGCACCACAGCAACCGTGTGCAACACAACACCACTGTTGCATATAGAATGTTTTAACGAACCCTTAAATGGAGCGTTTGCGGATTCCACAAGACATGCGAAAATAATCTTTATGGACAACGGAGCGCCGCTGGAATCTACGAGTCCTCCCGAGTCCGCCCGCATCACCCGAACTCCTCCCATCTGCGTCCAGGAGGCTCCAGCTAAATTGGCCGTCCGAGAACCAAGTGGACCGATTCAATCGACCATTCTGCGGTGCGCGCTGAGATGCGCACGTGCGCTGTAGCGCCAACCCGCACGACAGGGGGTAAGGAGGAGGAGGAGGAGGAGGAGGGGGAAGAAGAGGAGGAGGAGGAGGAAGAGGAGGTGGTGGAGGTGGAGGAAAGAACGTCGCATTCGATTATCAGCACTTTCCTGGCGTGGCGTCTAGTTGGCCGCAGCAGATCCTCACGTACATGCTCCTGTTTATCTGTCCTATGCACGCAGGAATTGTGGTGTACACCAGCGCTGTGTTGCACGCGGATGTTGTGGTGTAGACACGCGCTGTGGCGTGCACAGGCGCTGCGGTGCACGCAGCCATTGTGGTGTACACAGGCGCTGTGTTGCACATGGTAGCTGCGGTGTCCACATGTACGCCGGCGCTGTAGTGTACGCAAGCACCATGGTGTACACTGGCGCTGCGTTGCACACGGTTGTTGCGGTGTACGCAGGCGCTGTGGTCTACGCGCGCTACGGTGCACGCGAGCGTTGTGGTGTACACAAGCGCAGTGGGGCATATCGCCACCTACATGCTGGTCGCGCCGTCGTCGTTCTCGTCGTCGTCGTCGTCGTCGTCGTCGTCGCTCGTCGCTCGTCGCGTCGCGCGCGCGGGCGCGGCTGCGGTGCCAGAGCCACGCGGGGGGGGGGGGGGGGGGGGGGCGTTACGTCATACCCCCCCTCCCCTCCCCCCATGACGCCCGTCATCGCCGAACATAAAGAAACGCGCTCCTGGTGTTCTTTGAGGCGATCTTGAGATTTTCTGTGTGAGTTGTGCTTGGCCAGGAGTCGCCAGAACGAGAGGGTGACTTGCTTTCGAGTTTCGGAGCCCCGTTCTCAATTCTCATCGGGGGGACTGCATACTACCCAATGGTGGGATCACGCTGTGGCGTGGCAGCGAGGCGTTCGTGTGATTCGGAATGAACGGTCCATGAAGCGGTTCTCAACGCTGCCAAATCGAAAAAACAATTGTCGTACTGTATATTTCTATTGTGCACCTTGACGGTGCCATTCAGTTACATTGATGCTAGGCGGCTCCATTTTTGCTCGACCCGTCCTTTTTGGAGGCGGTTTTGGGCGCCTTTGGGGGGCCTGTTGGGGCCTCGTGGGGTATCTTTGGGGCCTCTTGGAGGCCTCTTGGGCGCGTCTTGGGTGCCTCTGGGGGCCTCTTGGAGCGTCTTGGCGCCCTCCTGGGGGCTTCTGGTGGCTTCTCGGAGCGCTTCTTGGGCCATCTTGGAGCCCTCTTGGGCCGTCTTGTGGGCCCTCTTTGAGGCGTCTTGGGCTGTCTTGGGGCGGTCTTGTGAGTTTCTTGAGCCGTTTTGGAGCGTCGGAAAGCCGAAAATGCGAGAAGGCCAACATCCTCCAAACACCTTCGCAAAATCGTCGATGTTGGCCTCTTGGGGCTCTCGGGAGGCCTCTTGTAACGCGCTTGGGGCCTCCTGGGGCCCTTTTGAGCCGTCTTGGAACCATCTTCGGGCGCCTTGGAGCACTCTTGGCCTCGGCAGTGCGAATACGGTGTACTTTGCGAGGGTTCATGGCTTCGGGGACGCGGGCATTGTATAATGTACGAGGGTTTGTTGCCTCGGGGACGCAAGCATTGTGTAACTTGCGAAGGCTTCTGGCTTCCAGGACGCGACTATCATGTAATTTACCAGCGATTATGGTTCCGGGGGCGCGAACATTGTGTAATGTACGAGGGTTTGTTGCCTCGGGGGCGCAACAAATGTATACTTCACAAAAAGATATGTGTGGCTTCGGGGGCGCGCATATGGTGCAATTTACGGGGGAGTATGGCCTCGGGGGCGCGAATCTCAAGTATTTTTGCGTGTCTCGCGCCCCCCTGGGAATTCAGAGCGCCCGATCCGAGGGTAGCAAATTGCCGGTTTGGGGTTCCTCCCCTTCGCGCGGACTTCAACAGTTCACAGCAGGAAGCAGACGCGGGGAGTGTAACATTGGAGACTTGAAACTGCATCTGGCGCAGGGCGCAGCAACTGCGGCCTGCAGCCTGGTGGCCCCACAAGGGGGCCGGCGGATGGGTCCGACCCTTGGTGCTCGTCTTCGGTTGAGCCGACAGGGCCCTCATCGTCCCAACCGACGCCCGCCGCGATGCCAAGACACGCCCGCGCCGATGTGTGATGGGAGGATTTGGGCCGTACTTGAAGCATCGGTGACGTGTGCAGGGGGCTCCTCCAGAGCATCCGCCTGGAGCAGTCTTCCGAATCCCCGCCCCGCCCTCCCAGAGCGCCCTCCCAGAGCGCCCTCCCAGAGCATCCTCCCAGGGAGGCCTTTGTGGAGCATGCTG